AGGAATTCAGGGAAACCGGCAGGCTGGACTTGATTCCTGGATATGGGAAGTACAGTGCCAGCACTCTGAAGGAGGGGTGTTAATGCTGCAGTTTTATAACTGTAGTGTAAGCATGCCTCTGGCAAGACAGTGATGGAGTGAATGATGATGGAAATTTTTCTTTTTTTCGGGCCACCCTGTCTTTGTGGGAAAGGGCTGATGTGTTAATAAAAAAAAAAAACATGTATGTGAAGTATGACCTAAGTGTAAGTAGAAGTAGCAAGATGTACCTGAAATCTTGCATGTTTATGAGACAGAGAAAAGACATCAGCAATCCTACCATCATGTAAAACAAGTACAGGCTTCCATATTACACTCACTAGGCAGGACAGTATTACCTCCTTGGGCACTTGCTGTCTATCAACCTACTACCTAGCTGCATTAGATTCATTATGTTTTAATCTGACACTTCTTTCCAACACCCTAGCAACCACTTTATTTACAACCCCATCAATATGTTAAATAACCATGGTGACATTAAACATTCTTGTGTAAAACCTATCTTTACTGGAAAATAATCCCCCTCTCTCCCACAAACTCTAACCTGAGCATCATTATTTACATAAAAACTTATTACAACCTTTGGTAATCTACCTCCTATTTCATGCATTTGCAACATCTGCCACACTGATCCCTTATCCACTCTATTATATTCTAACATCATTATAATTGTTTTAATATATGCTATTATTAAAGCTAATTTGCACTGTAAAAGAGAGCATCTCTCTTCCTTATCCTGAGCTTATGAATGCTCTCCATTAATTGTCTATCTATTACCATACAGAAACTCCAACCATGATAGTGACCAAGTACTGCCTACTGTTTGCACCAAAGGCTGCAGCTACCCTGAGAGCCAGTAGTACCATGTTTTCTTTACTCAGAACTATATCCTTTACTGTTATTTATTTCTATAGCCACCTATGCATCTGGTTAGCCAGACTCGAGTCCTGGAGATGGGAAGTACAGTGCCCATACTCTGAAGGAGGAACAGGGATGTTGTGGTTTGGAGGGTCATCTGAACTGTGATATCAGCACCCTTCTGATAAGACAGTTGCATATCAATGGTATACAATACTGATAAGATGAAGAATTAGACAACACCAAATGATCCCTTGCCTATGCTCTGGAGAGAGTTCCGGGGGTCAACACCCCCGCGGCACGGTCTGTGACCAGGCCTCCTGGTGGATCAGAGCCTGATCAACCAGGCTGTTACTGCTGGCTGCCCGCAAACCAACGTACGAGCCACAGCCCAGCTGGTCAGGAACCGACTTTAGGTGCTTGTCCAGTGCCAGCTTGAAGACTGCCAGGGGTCTGTTGGTAACCCCTTATGTATGCTGGGAGGCAGTTGAACAGTCTCGGGCCCTTGACACTTATTGTATGGTCTCTTAACGTGCTAGTGATACCCCTGCTTTTCATTGGGGGGATGTTGCATCGTCTGCCAAGTCTTTTGCTTTCGTAGTGAGTGATTTTCGTGTGCAAGTTCGGTACTAGTCCCTTTAGGATTTTCCAGGTGTGTGAGGGAAAAGTTCAATAGATAGGAGTAGAGATATAGTAACGATAGTTTCATTACCAGCTACTAGTTAAGGTAGGGTAAGTCAAGCTCCCGCCTTTCTTCCCCCTCCCCGAAAGTGATAGTTTCATTGCCGGCTGCTTGTTAACGTAGGGTCAGTCTAGCTCCCGCTATCCCTTCCCCTCCCTCCCCCCCCCCCCCGAAAGGTGACGTGTGGGGCTCTGGTCAAAATGTAAATCACTCGACTCACAGCTCCCAACACTACTGTAAGTACATGCCTGCCTTGTATTCTAGTGGATTTATTGGTTAAAAGCTTCACTTTTGACCAATAATAAACTTAGTCCTTTCAGTCTTGCTCTAGGTTGACTGTTGTAATAATCACCACGTCTTTTGAGTAATGTACACTGCCATGGGGAGTGATTATTTAAGCAGTGGGTAACCTGTCTATCTTTTCAGCTTGGATGACAGTGAGGGTCACCTGTCAATCAACGATAAGAACAGGAGAAGGACTAACGTCCTGGAGACGTCCCCATTTTGTATTGAACTACCTGTGCACCTGTATGAAATTGCAGGACGTAACCCCACATCATTGCAGCGGTAAAGAACCTGCTTTCCTGTCATCTGGATAATACTCACAGCGTTAATCTGTGAAGAACTAGCCAGTAGTGGTGGTCACCAACACCTGCAACCCCCCCCCCCTCATCATCAGCAATGGCTACGATTTCAACAACAGTGTCACCAACACCAGACACCCATATACATATTAGCGTTGAATTCAGTTATCATTTATATTTTTAATTTTTAATTTTCTTTAATGTAGGATTAATATTTCATATTTAAGTGTTTTACATTTTATATTTTCTATATAATAGTGTTTATATTTGTCTGTTATTATTTCTTTTTCTATTCACTAATTTTCCTGAGGAGGAGCCAGCCTTGGTAATACTGTCTGAAGTTGTTACAGGGCTGAGTAAGCCTTCACAAGGTGTATATAATCATGTATCTCTCCCACCAGTGTTCCAGGGAATACAGGTTCAGGAACCTCAAGCGCTCCCAGTAACTGAGGTGTTTTATCTCCGTTATGCGTGCCGTGAAGGTTCTCTGTACATTTTCTAGGTCAGCAATTTCACCTGCCTTGAAAGGTGCTGTTAGTGTGCAGCAATATTCCAGCATAGATAGAACAAGTGACCTGAAGAGTGTCATCATGGGCTTGGCATCCCTACTTTTGAAGGTTCTCATTAGCCATCCTGTCATTTTTCTAGCAGATGCGATTGATACAAAGTTATGGTCCTTGAAGGTGAGATCCTCCGACATGATCACTCCCAGGTCTTTGACGTTGGTGTTTCGCTATTTTGTGGCCAGAATTTGTTTTGTACTCTGATGAAGATTTAATTTCCTCGTGTTTACCATATCTGAGTAATTGAAATTTCTCATCGTTGAACTTCATATTGTTTTCTGCGGCCCACTGAAAGATTTGGTTGATGTCCGCCTGAAGCCTTGCAGTGTCTGCAATGGAAGACACTGTCATGCAGATTCGGGTGTCATCTGCAAAGGAAGACACGGTGCTGTGGCTGACATCCTTGTCTATGTCAGATATGAGGATGAGGAACAAGATGGGAGTGAGTACTGTGCCTTGTGGAACAGAGCTTTTCACCGCAGCTGCCTCGGACTTGATTCTGTTGACTACTACTCTCTGTTTTCTGTTAGTGAGGAAATTATAGATCCATCGACCGACTTTTCCTGTTATTCCTTTAGCACGCATTTTGTGCGCTATTACGCCATGGTCACACTTGTCGAAGGCTTTTGCAAAGTCTGTATATACTACATCTGCATTCTTTTTGTCTTCTAGTGCATCTAGGACCTTGTTGTAGTAATCCAATAGTTGAGACAGACAGGAGCGACCTGTTCTAAACCCATGTTGCCCTGGGTTGTGTAACTGATGGGTTTCTAGATGGGTAGTGATCTTGCTTCTTAGGACTCTTTCAAAGATTTTTATGATATGGGATGTTAGTGCTATCGGTCTGTAGTTCTTTGCTGTTGCTTTACTGCCCCCTTTGTGGAGTGGGGCTATGTCTGTTGTTTTTAGTAACTGTGGGACGACCCCTGTGTCCATGCTCCCTCTCCATAGGATGGTAAAGGCTTGTGATAGGGGCTTCTTGCAGTTCTTGATGAACACGGAGTTCCATGAGTCTGGCCCTGGGGCAGAGTGCATGGGCATGTCATTTATCACCTGTTCGAAGTCATTTGGCATCAGGATAACATCAGATAGGCTTGTGTTAACCAAATTCTGTGGCGACTCTCAGTCTGGTTAGCGGCTTGCTAAAAACTGAGTCATACTGGGACTTGAGTAGCTCACTCATTTCCTTGCTGTCATCTGTGTAGGACCCATCTTGTTTAAGTAGGGGCCCAATACTGGACATTATTCTCGACTTTGATTTGGCATAGGAGAAGAAATACTTTGGGTTTCTTTTGATTTCATTTACTAGCAACTTCTTGTAGAGATTTCACCATCCAGTGGCTTTATCAATACATGAAGACAGAAGACAGTGGAAGATGAGGCAATCAGTCCCTCAGCCTAGCCTAGGAGCAGGTTATGAGCACCATAGTCTTAAGAACATGAAGCACGTACAGGAAAGTTGGTGCTTACCGTATTTTACAGTGTCGAGGACGCCTCCCCAATTCTGATTGGTTAAATTTTTAATAACAGATAAATGGTAATTTGGTGTCCAAGATGCTGGGTAAATTTTTGAAACTTGCTCTGGAAAAAAATTGGGTCTTTGACACTAAGATATGGCATGCACTGGAATCAGGAGTTACAGCAGACAAAGGCACTGTCATTGGCAGGAGGAACTTCCCAGTGTGAGTAAGTTATACCCAAGAGTTGGACCAAGAATTAGTAAGTTGTGGTAATGTCCTCTGTACCAAGATTCCACGATGTTGTTGTCTGACAAGCTGTATATCAATGGTACACAATACCGACAAGGTGAATTCTTTACACGGCCTCATGTTAGTATATATTCCTTACCAATTCTATTAAATTATCTCAGGATCTTGTAAGTAGTTATTGTGTATTATGTTCTCTTATCAGCCAGTAATGGCATGCCTAGTGATGCTTCCTGCCTTTCTTCATAACTTTTTTTTTTTTTAGCTCTAGGAGCCATTTTGCAGACTGCCTTTGGACTTTTATCTAGCTTATCCATATGTGTTTTAGTAACACACAATAACACTGCTGCATATTCCAATTACATTCTAACATTGTTGTTAAAAGCTTTTTATTATTTTTAGCATTTGTCCATCCATATATTTAAAGACTATTTTTGAAGTTACGAAGTGTTATATAACAGATCAGTAAATACATATTTGTAAGTACATTAATTAGCATTTACATGATTGTCTATGTACTTACAAAAATATTAGTCTAAACCAGAAAGAATATAAAAAAAGGACCTACCTGTACACCAAGGATTCCAAAAATTATAAAAAATGTACAACAAATGAGGACTATGTTGCCGATGGGTTGAAGCGATGAAAGTAATGTCTGCACCACCAGTTTGAGACCTGGGGCCCTGTTGATCACTCTGGGGTGGGAAAGGAGAAAAGTCATTTTGGCAGAGTAATCATAACATGTGCATGTTTCAACTGTGGTAATGCAAGTCCTTTCATCAATATACAAAAAATAAATGAAAGGACAATATGTATCAGGTTTACAATTAATACAAGATGACAATGAAACCAATTCTAGATCTGGAAAAATTACCTAGAAGTAACTGTTTTTTTTTCCGTCCTTCAGCAATAAATTTTTATGTGGACAATGAGGCTTAGGTAAGGGTATGTAGGAGAGAGGTAGACCTTAGACAGGGAATTATGATATAAATGTTAAAACATTTATAGATGGGATTGAAAAAGATGTGAGTAACAGGGTGTCAGGGAAAGGTTCGGGATTAAAAGAATAAAAAAATTTAATACAAACTGGGAGCTGTTATTTACTTTTTCCCAATGACTCTTTGCTTTTGAGAGACACTGAAGAGAAGTTGGTAGACAAATTTGGGGGAGTATATAAGGAAGGAAATTAAAAGTGAACATAAGAAAGAGCAAGGTGATGAAAGTAACAAAATGTTTAGGTAATAAAAGATTGGATATCAGATTGGAAGCAGGGAGCATAGAGGAAGCGAATGTCTTCAGATATTTGGGAGCAGACTTGTTGGCAGACAGGTTTACAAAAGACAAAGTGAACCACAGAACTGATGAGGAAAAAAAAGTGGGTGGTGCACTGAGGTATCTGTGAAGGCAATGAAACTTATCAGGGGAGGCAAAAACGGGAATGTACCAGAGTATAATGGTACCAACACACTTTTATGGGTATGAAGAATGGGTTTTAACCCTTTGACTGTTTTGGCCATATATATACGTCTTACAAGCCAGTGTTTCGGAAGTATATATACTCAATAATTCTAGTGGCTTCAAATCAAGCAGGAGAAAGCTGGTAGGCCCACATGTAAGAGAATGGGTCTCTGTGGTCAGTGTGCACTGTATAAAAAAAATCCGGTAGCATACAGAGCATAATGAGAAAAAAAAAAACTCTGAGTGTGTTTCTGGATTAAAACGCCGACTTTGAGGTGCATTTTCGTATAGTATTTATGGTTGTATTCTTATTTTCTGGGTTTCATTTGATAGAATGGAAAACATATTACAGTAATAGAGATGATTTTGATTAGTTTCAAAATGAAAACGACCTTGAAATTGAGCTCAAAGTAGAGGAAATATTCGATTTTTACCAATGTTCAAGAGAAAGCAAATCACACCACACGTCCAATACATGTCAACTGGGGAGTCTAATATTCTTTTACTAGTGCACTGATATTATTTATACCATTTTTACAATAAGGCAGTAGTCTGCATAACAGTAAATCTTCTATTTTTTGTATGAATAAAAATCAAAATAGAAAGCAAGAGTAATATAAGAGGGGCCTAGAGACATGACTAATGAACAGATGATATGTTATTTTAGTGCCAAGAATGTCTGCATTGTTTATTCAGGACCCTATTTTGAAATTGGCATCTTTTTTAATTTGCGTGAAATTGGCCAAATTGCCAATTTCTGACCAATTTATTGGTTAGTTGAAATCGGTAAATGGGTGGTTTCTTGTACTCAATTGATAGAAAAAATGGAGTTCTAAAGAAATAGCTATGAGTTTAGTCGACTGGAATTGGCCGAAAATAAGGGCTCAATGTCGGCAAAATCACTGATGCATATGTATCACCAAGATTGCTAACTTCGCGGTAAGTTTTCGATCAAATTTCGTACTTTTGGTGTCATTACCATCGGGAAAAGATTCTCTATCATTTTATATGAAAAAATAATTTTTTTTTTTTCCAAAAATTTTTCGACATAGAATGACAGTTTCAGAAAGGGGCTTGCGGCAGTCAAAGGGTGAAGACTACAAATGTAATAGAAATAATAGCATTTCTTACCTTAAATTGTAGGTGCTAGTGTTTGTGGATAATTGTGAAGAGAGTGGAGAGTTATACTGTGGCCCTATTGGACTGAGGTGGATGACAGAGGTTCTGGTACTGAAGTCGATGGTTGTACTGGAGTGTCTAACTTTAAGTCATTCAGTAAGTCAGTTAAGTCATTCAGTAAGTCAGTCAAGTCATTCAGTAAGTCAGTCAAGTCATTCAGTAAGTCAGTCAGTTACGTCATTCAGTAAGTCATTCAGTAAGTCAGTCAAGTCATTTGGTAAGTCAGTCAAGTCATTCAGTAGGTCAGTCAAGTCACTCAGTAAGTCAGTCAAGTCATTCAGTAAGTCAGTCAAGTCATTCAGTAAGTCAGTCAAGCATTCAGTCAGCAAGTCAGTCAATCATTCTTTCAAGTCATTCAGTAAGTCATTCACTAAGTCAAATCATTCAGTAAGTCAGTCAAGTCATTCAGTAAGTCAGTCAAGTCATTCAGAAAGTCAGTCAAGTCAGTCATTCAGAAAGTTAGTCATTCAGTATGTCAGTCATTCAGTAAGTCAGTCAATCATTCAGTCAAGTCATTCAGTAAGTCAGTCAGTCACACAAACTTATGTTTATCTCTTTATGTTTACACTTCATTATGGCCACAGGTTATGTCTTGTCTAATATCTTTGTTTATTTCATTAATTCTAAGACTTACCACTTTGAGCAACACTGATATGCCTACTGGACATCATGACTACTTAGCAGATACAAGATATAGTAATAAAAAGATCAAAACACAAGTCACAATGACAAGATTGTTGCAGAGAAGTTGGACTGGACCCGTATGAAGTACAAATGCTGGCATGGTGGGGTGGTGTTGGAAGGGGGGGGGGATGGCAGGAGGTCTCCCCTGCTGATCCACAACAAAGCAGCCAGGGACAGGGACAGTTTTTTTCCTTCCCACAATGTGAACCATGTTAAATTAAATTTCATGACACGTTACATAAAATTGAGCCGCAATTCTTCAACCGCGCTATACCCTAATTGTGTCAAATAAACTCGTACTAAATGACGGTCTAATGTATACTGGATGTGGGAATGAAATTTAAGATTACAATCAAGGAGAAGATCTAGAAATTTACCTTCAGTGTGTCTTGTAATAGGGAAATCATCTACCGATATGCAAGACTTGACGTACACCTTGCTACTTCTACTTACACTTAGGTCACACTACACATACATGTACACGTTTATGCATACACACTCATTTGAGTTTTCTTTGATTTTATCTTAATAGTTCTTGTTCTTAGTGCTTTTCATTTCATACCCATGGGGAAGTGGAATAAATATCTTCCCTCCGTAAGCCATGAGTGTTGTAAAAGTCAACTAAAATACTGGGAACAATGAGCTAGTAACCCTTTTTCCTGTATAGCTTACTAAAAAGAATAAGAAGAAAACCGTCAAAGTGGAATGTTTGAATGTGCGTGGATGTTGTGCGAATGATAAGAAAGAGATGATTGTGGTTGCTATGAATGACAAGAAGCTGGATGTCCTGGCTTTAAGTGAAACAAAGCTGAAGGGGGAAGGAGAGTTTCAGTGTGGAGAAATAAATGGGATTAGGTCAGGGGTTTCAAATAGGGTTAGAGCTAAAGAAGGAGTAGCAATAATGTTGAAGGATAAGTTATGGCAGGAAAAGGAGGGAATATAAATGTATAAATTCAAGGATTATGTGGTGTAAAATAAGGGCTGGATGTGAAAAGTGGGTTATAATAAGTGTTTATGCACCTGGAGAAGAGAGAAGGGTAGAGGAGAGAGATTTTGGGAAATGTTGACTGAGTGCATGGGAAGTTTTGAACCAAGTGAGAGAGTACTTGTGGTTGGGGATCTCAATGCTAAAATCGGTAAAAATGTTGTGGAGAGTAAATTAAAGGTTCCAGGGGTAAATGAAAATGGGAAGCCTTTAACTGAGGTATGTGTATAAAGAGGTTTGGTAAAAAAAAAAGTAATACATACATGTTTTATGAAAAAGAGGATAAATAAGTATACAAGGTATGATATAGCACGTAATGAAAGTAGTTTGTTAGATTATGTATTGGTGGATAAAAGGTTGATGGGTAGGCTTCAGGATGTACATGTTTATAGAGGGGCAACAGATATATCGGATCATAATTTAGTTGTAGCTACAGTTAGAGTTAGAGGTAGATGGGACAAAACGAAAATGGCAACAGCAAGTAAGAGAGAGGCAAAAGTGTATCAACTAAGGGAGGAGGAAGTTAGGGTGAAATATAAGTAACTATTGGCAGAAAGGTGAGCTAATGCAAGTATGAGTAGTGGGGGGGTTGAAGAGAGCTTGGATAGTTTTAAAAATGCAGTTATTAGAATGTGGGGCAGAAGTTTGTGGCTATAGGAGGGCGAGTGCAGGAGGAAAGAGGAGTGACTGGTGGGATGATGAAATAAAGGATTTGATGAAAGAGAAAAAGGTAGCTTATGAGAGGTTTTTATAAAGTATAAGTGTTGTAAGAAGAGCAAAGTATATGGAAAGTAAAAGAAAGATGAAGAGAGTGGTGAGAGAGTGCAAAAAGAGAGCAGATGAAAGAGTGGGCAAGACACTGGCAAGAAATTCTGCTGAAAAAATGAAAAAAATTTGGAGTGACATAAAGAAGAAAGTCTAGGGAATGAATGGATTTATCAGTTAAAAACAGAATAGAGGAGTTAGAAAATGAGGAGCTGGAGGTATTGGGTAGATGGCGGGAATATTCTGAGGAACTTTTAAATGTCGATGATGAAAGGGAGGCAGTAATTTCATGCACTGGTAAGGGAGGTATAACATTTTTTGAGGAGTGAAGAAGAGCAGGAGGTGAGTGTGGGGGGAAGTGTGTGAGGCATTACATAAAATGAAAGGGGGGTAAAGCAGCAGGAACTGATTCAAATTCAAAGTTTATTCTCTATAAGGATTACAATGCTGAGTTTACAGAATTTGGTTATTGTGTGGTATACATGCAGTAAAATAATGATTACAGAGTGTACCACTAGAACACCTAGCATGGCTAGGCATTTCGGGCAGACTTAGTTTAAATCTTAATTTTAAAATATTACAAATTATGAGGTAAGTTGGTATTATGGTTAAGTGACTAAATAC